GCTGCAGCTCTGGCAGGAGGAGAACCAGACCCAAGGCGGGCTCTGGAACGGGAGCCAGGAGCTGGGCTGGGAAGAGCTGGAGAAGATGCTCTTCCTCTTTGTGAAGGAGCCTGTCACCATCACCCTCACGGCGATGTACCTGGTGTCCTTTGTGGTGGGCTTCGTGGGCAACATCATGTCCATCAGGGTGCTCACTCGGAAGCGCCGGAGTCGGGCATCCAGCCTGAGTGCCACTCGCAGCCTCCTCCTCAACCTGGCAGTGTGCGACCTCATGGTGGTGTGCGTCTGCATGCCCATCACCGTGGGCAACCTCATCTACAAAGCCTGGGTGTACGGGGACTTCCTCTGCCGGGCGGTGCCCTTCATCCAGGCTGTTTCTGTCTCCGCCAGTGTCCTCAGCCTGACCGTCATCAGTGTGAACCGGTACTACAGCGTGCACAATCCACTCAACGCCCGGTCTTTCTTCACCCAGAAGAGGATCCTCAGCACCATCCTGGTGGTGTGGTTGTTGTCCTCAGGGATATGCATGCCCCTCATCTTCATGAACAAACGGGATGAGATTGGGGTCGTGGAGGGCTTGCCTCTAGTGTTTTCCATTTGCAGGGAGATTTGGCCTCAGGAGAGGCTCAAGCAAGCCTACAACTTTCTGCTCTTCTGTGCCCTCTACTGCCTGCCGGTCCTGTTCAACATGGTCATCTGCTTCCTCACGGTGCGCCGGCTGTGGAGCCGCAGCAGCCAGCTGAAGGAGAGCACTGCCCTGAATCGATCTCTGCCAGCCTCCAGGCTGAAGATCCGGAAGAAGGTAGCACAGATGGTCGTGGCCCTGGTCCTCCTGTTCGCAATCTCCTGGCTGCCTGTCTACCTGATGGACATCTGGATTGATTTCAACATCCCCAAATCTTTGCAGGATGTGACTCCTTCTCCTTGGATCCTGCAGCTCAGACCTTTTGCCCAGTGGCTTGGCCTCACAAATTCCAGCCTCAACCCTATATGCTATTGCTTTGTTGGGAACCTCTACAGGTCAGCCAAGGAAATGAAGAGCAAATACCACCAAAGAATGGTCTCTCTCTTTAACTTCTCTCTGTCTGAAGGGACAACACGTTCCTCGGTCCCAGAGGTGCTTACTTACCAGAATTCAATGGACCCTGCAAGGAAAGGACCCTCTGTCACCCCCACTATGGGCAAGAGATGTCAGGGAGGTCATGGCCATAAGAACAAGTGTGGACGCTTGAACTCCTGCCAGCATCCACCTCTGAACACTGTCTCCAGTGAGAACACTTCCTTGTAATTCTGCTCAGGAAGTGTACCTCATACCCTCATCTGCATTTGACGACTCTTTAGAGGTCTTTCTGAACCAGATACTTTAATAATAGAAAAAAACTTTCTTCTATTCACTCCCACCACCAGTTCAAAGAAGCAAATAATGAGAGGAAAAGATGACGTATTTTAACTCAGATGAAGTTTCAAGACAAATGATTTTTACTGGGGACAACTAGATGTGTAGCTGTTGCCCAGTCAACAGTCACATAGACAGAGCAGCTTCCCAACAAGTGATCTCTCCCCACAGCTCCATCTCTGGATGCAGAGAGGTTTGGATACAGCAACAATTTGACTGCTTGCTGCTGCTGCTCACCCTGTGCTGACAAAGAGCAGCGATAAGAGGCACTCTTTGCTCCAAATCCATCTGTTGTTGTTGCAAGCAGTGAAGAAACACTAGAAACAGCATCATAAAAAGTAATAATAGTGGAGAATTTCACACACTTTACCGCTTGAGATTTCATTGTCTGATCGTATTGTTTCACCCCTCCATGCAAATAAATTGTCCTGATGTGAAGACACAGTGCCAGAAGTACTAAAGCAACCATCACCACACCACATTTGGGAATTCAGAAGGGATAACGTGGCCTTGGAGGTGATTTAGGAAATGCAATAGGAAAATATTCTTTGGGCATGAGCTCTCTTTCTTACAGCTGTGTTCCTGCGGGTGGAATGGAAAGAACCGGGCATCTGTTAACATGATTTGCACTTAAAAAACCAACCCTCGTTCAGCTGCGTCTGCACCAAACAAAGTCAATGGCATGTGAAAATAAAAATAGAAAGTGGTTTATAGCTAATAAAATCAGAATCAACTAATGCAATGCTATTTGTCTGGGAAGGAGAGAATCAAAGTGCCTGCTTTTCCTGAGGATCAGAAGTAGGTTAAAACCTGTTTCTTCCATCATCTCCTTTAAAGGAGGCTTTGATAAATAAATTGTTTATTTTTATTACATTAGCATCAAAAGGCTCCACTAAAGCTTGAGAATTCTGTTGTGCTGAGCATTGGATCTGTATTCATAAAGAAAGGAAACCTTTCTCCCAAAGATCTAAGTGAAAACACATCAGACCAGGCAACAAGTGGGAGAAAAAAAAAAAATACAAAGTCCCAAAAGGCTGGAATGAAACTAGAGATCAGCCCCTTCCCTGTGCCTGCTCAATGCTAGGTGTGAGGGCATGCACACCACCTCCTGATGCCAGAAGAGCCCGTGCCCTGGCTACCTGTGTGCCAGCACCCGCTGCAGCAGGGTTCTCCTCTTAGCAAGCCCTGGAATGAATGCAGCAGCCTTCCTGAGAGAGGATTCTGCATTTCATGAAACTCGGGCTTAAGGTGACTGGAGGCCTTTTTTTATTACTGAAAAAGGGAATGATGTTCTGGGAAATCTAAGTTTCAGATTATATCCTCCTGCCTTCTAGGGAGCCTTTTGCTTATCAAAAAAAAAAAAAAAAAAAAAAAGAGAGAAAAAATAGCCATTCAACCCAACAGTATTCCCACCTTTGTAACGGTCGCTCAGTAACATTTTATGTGAACAATGATCTGCCTGGAAAACAAAAGAGTCCTCCAAAAGATTCATTCTGGAAGTGCCATCCACAATTTGTATTCTCTTTTTGTGTGAACGAGAAAGAAATTATAACTACCCAGATTTACTCTGGGTAAGAAATGGCTTTTATGTGTGCCGGGATCTGCATTTTTGCAGGTGATATAGGAGTGTGCCTACCGCCTGATCTTTTAGTACCTGTGGAGAAAAGCCTGGGAAGATTTTATTTCCTTTTTCAAGGCATATTTTTAGGGCTGGCAAAATGTACCAGGCTGAGGGGCATGAAAAGCTTGTTCTGAGTGCCCACGGACTCCAGGTCCTGCAAACGGATGTCCTCCACCCTGAGATCAGAGCTGACACAATACTGAAACTTCGCTATGTTGCCCTGAACAATCTATTTAATCCTGCCCTGAATAAACTGCAATGAAACGACCATGGAGATGCCAGACTAACTCTGTCCCATGTGGTGGCCCAGCTCTGAAAACGGCCCAGATCAAGTTACACAATCAAAGGTGCAAGAAATCCACATTTTAAAGCATCCCAGAGGAGAAAGTTTTTCTCTCAGTTCATGAGGTGATGCCTGGGTCCTGCCCTGAAAGTCTCTGTAACCTTCAAGGAGGCAGAAATACCAGGGACTTTGTGTTCTCCTGAACGTGCCTATGCCTTCCCCTCCTGATGCAGACGCCCATGCCTTTCTCCAGCCCCACAGCACTCCTGACCACCAAGATATCCTGTGGCAAGGGCCACTTCCACTTGGCAAGGTCATCTCTTCTTCACACTTTTAAATGTATTTTCCAGTTTCATTCAGTGTTCCTGTTTTCCTATAATAAAGTTGAATTGCTCACTTTGAATCCTCTTTGCCTCCCTCTGTTACCCTCTCCCTATCCCCCACGCTCCAACTGCTTCCTCTATAGTGAAACCTCCCCCTGCCTCTCACTGTTATCACTCTTTGCCTGTGAATTCCCCTCACTCTAACGACTCATTCATGTCTTCACTCCTCTGATAAAAAATCCCTTCCTGCCCTGCTGATTTGAATGGCTCCTTTCGTGCTGCAGACACCTGTTTGCTATGGAGAACGCTGATTTATTTTGCACAGCTTACCCGACGGCTGCCAGGTCGTAATGAATTTTGGTCAGTATCACCCAAGGGTAAATGAGAAGCAGTGACGTCAATGTGAAAGCCACACAGCATTCCGTGAGCTGCCCAGGCTCCGGCAGGGGTTTCATTAACCTGAGCAGGTCTGTGTAACGCAGCAATGCCTGCGTGACTCACACTGGCTCCAAGTGAAGTGAAACCTCAGCATTTGGGAAAGTGACTTTTTTCCCCTCCTACCTGATAAAACATCTCTGTCTATTTGGGGCTGAGAAGACATCCAAGGGTCTTGCAGGCCACACAAACTCTTTGTTTCAGATGGCAGGCACTTTGATAGGCATTCAAGGGACTCCTGGCCCGTCAAGCAATCGGGAGCAGACACGGCTCTGGCTGGTGAACACAGACGGTCTCCTCAAAGCAGCTCAAGCCAAAAGTCTTGCGCATAGTGTGTGGTTAAGGAAATGTTTTCCTCTCTAAATGTGCCCAGGCAGACTGGAAATGTGAATTTTAGATGTCTCAAGGACAATGTTTTCCCACAGTAATGCTGCTAATGCATCTCAGTTCCACTCTTCCCCCCACAGGTCTTTCTTCTCTGCTTTGCCATTTGAATCAATACAGGCATTTTACCACATTACCAAAATAGGATGTTTAACACAGCTTTACTTGAATCCCTTTGCTGCAGTAAGGGCTTACAGAGAGTTGCTGTTCGGTAACTCTCTCTGGGAATATTCCATGATCTATTCTTGTACTGTCAGTATTGTCTCGAAGATGCTACAGGTTTATTTTCTGCCTGTGAACCACTGGAGAGACAAAAAAAGAGATAATCTTTTGTATGAGGTGTCGTATTGGTACATACAATCATGACTGGTAAGTAGCCCTCGTATGGAGAATGATGAATCACTGTTTCTTATAATAAAATACTCAGGGGAAGCCAGTGAAATGATTAGGCAGCATGTGTAGGGGCAAGGCAGCACCTTTTCTCACACCATGGCAGCCGCTGAGCTCACAGGCAGAGGAGGTGGTGAGGGCTGAAAGCAATAAAAAGAGTTCAAGAGGAGACTGTTCACAGCAGAAAGGGCCATCAAGGGCTATTAAAAACAACGATGCAACTTCTGGCTTAGAGGGCATTGGGTATATAACCTATAACTGCCATTCTTGGTTCTTCCCACGACATGTGCTACTGGCCACCAGTGGGAGCAGGATGCTGGGCGAAGCATCGGTCATGTCCCTATGCAAAAACCCCCTCACATTAGCCTGAGTCCTGTTTTAAAGAGTAGGGGGAGAGCAGAGCTTGATTTCAGACCTGGCATAATTTGATCAACAGTAAAACTTTGCAGGACACCATCACCTGGAGGTAGGACACGTTAACGCTGACGCAGGGCAGGCTGAGAAATGCTCACTCAGTCACTTGCAGCGAGAGCTGAGCAGTCCCAGCGGATGGTGCCCACTCCAGTGCAATGCAACAGAAATAACAGATCCGTCCGTCTTCTAATAGTCATCAGCCCTCTCAGTGGGTCAGCATCTTCACCGCAACAACCCTAAGCACCCCAGAAAGAAGGATGTCCTCCAAACAGAAACTCCTGCCTGTTGGTATTTTACATATTATACTTATTGCTGCTGGGATTCAAACAAGGATGGAAGCTGGCTGGTGAGTTATCTGCAACACCAGCAGCCCCCAGCAATTCTCCCCACCACAGCACATCCCATACACAAATACATGACCTTTAATGACTTGAAATATCTAAAAATATGGGGAGAGCACAGGACTTGCCTGGGTTTCCAGTGTATTGTGATGCCCTTGTTGCAAAAAAACTAAAGAACTATCACTGTGAATTTTCTAGGAATAACCAGCACAGCTCAGTTTACCTTTGTGATTATATTCAGCATGAAAATAAATCACCAGCGGCTGCTAGAAGAACAAATAAAAGAGCAGGTACAACCAAAGAGATCGCTGGAGCCCTCTGGGAAAGTCAGCCTCCGGGAAAGTACTGCTTGCCTGGCACATATGGGGATAGCATAAGACTTTCCCAAACTTTCTGGGAATGAATAACTACAGGTTAGGCCAGCCCCAGGGGC